CACAGCTCCGCTCCTCCGCTGCCCATGGGCCACCTGCCGGCTGCTCCGACAGCAGCTAGGCAGCTCCATCATCCTCTTCCTTACCCAGAATCCCTGGGGTGGGCCTGACTGGCTCCCCCCAGCCTTCCTCCCCTCCCGCCAGGAGAGGAGCCCTTTCTGTCTCTCCCGGCCTGGGGGCCTGGCAGGACCCGCCAGCAGCGTGACCAGGCCCTGCTGCACCTGCTACATCTAGCCAGGTGTCCCCCATCCTCAGGGCCAGATTCGTGCTAAGCCACGCCCCTCCCTTATGCACATGCATGCGAGGGGTGGCAGACGGTGGCCCTTCGGGTGGGGCATGGGACCCTCTAGCTACAGGGGCTCTGCCGTGGCCACTGGCGGCAGGACATTCTGCCTACCAGTGGCCGTGCGCCTGTCGCCAGGTTTGGCGCTCTGGAGCGCTGCTTCCCGGCTTTGGGTGCTTCGCGGCTGAGACGGGAGGCCCTGTAATTCCCACACCTCTCACCATGCCACCTGGCACGTTTCCGTGGTCCCAAACTCATGCCATCCGCCAGCTCTGGTTTCCCGCGTGAGCGCGCGGGTCCTTGGCCACAGCCCAGCCCGTGGGGGCTGGCACGCACGCCCACAGCCGGCCGGGGATTTTCACTGTGAGGGGTTTCTCCCCAGGAAATGCCAAAGCATCAGCATCGGAATTGGTTGCAGAACCTGAGGGGGGTGTCTCAGGGCTGGGGGGATTTCTGGTCCAGCCCGGAGTGGAGAACGGGGCTCTCCCAGGGGGTGTAGGAGACCCAAATTAAAGTTCCTTCTCCGCCTAATTCCGAGCAGGGACTGGAACCTGGGTCTCCCCTATCCCTGCTATGGCACTTGGTCGCGCTGTCCCTCGTTTTATCGGGAACCAATGGCAAAGCTCTCGGGTTTCTTCCGCGCGGAAAGCAAACGCATTTCAAAGCCTCCGCGTTTCTGTGGAAGGGAATTCTGCAGTCCTGGCTGGCCCTGCTCCCTTCTCCTGGGGTCCCCCCGAGCAGGGACTGGAACCTGGGTCTCCCCTATCCCTGCTATGGCACTTGGTCGCGCTGTCCCTCGTTTTATCGGGAACCAATGGCAAAGCTCTCGGGTTTCTTCCGCGCGGAAAGCAAACGCATTTCAAAGCCTCCGCGTTTCTGTGGAAGGGAATTCTGCAGTCCTGGCTGGCCCTGCTCCCTTCTCCTGGGGTCCCCCCGAGCAGCCGATGCCTTCCCACGCGATGTTTGCCTCCATGACCTACATGTGACCAGTGGAGTCAGGAAAATGAAAGGGAAGATGCGATTTGCCCACCTCTAGCTTCTGCCAAGCAGATCACACAAGGGGTGCGAGAGAGGAGCTGGCTTTGCTTCCCCCCACCCCCCGCTCTCTCCATAGGGACGCCGTGCCATCGCCGAGCCTGTCGGGGGGAGGAGGAGAAGCACCCCACGTTGGGCGCCAAGCTGACTGGCACGCGCTTAATCCCTGAGTGCGCCACTAGAGGGCAGCATCTGCCATGGGTGTCCGGGCGGCGGCCTGGCACAGCTAGGCAGAGTAGCGGCCACGCCCCGGCCGGTCGGCCGGTCACGTTTTCGGCCTGAGCGGGTCGCTACGGGATCTGTGGAGAAACAGGGCAGCACAAAGCCCTGGGGCTAGGCTCCCCGCCGGTCCTGCAGGCTCCCGGCTGCACGGTGCGACCAGGGCGACCGCGTCCAGAAACAGACGGTGGCCTGGGAGTGGGTGTCAATGGCCCCTGGGAACCTCCCGAGCTACAGAGGAGCCCTATTGCCGACCCCAGCAAAGGGGGTGGGCTGGACCCAGGCTGGCGCTGCACTAGGGCTAGTCTCCGCTGCCCAGGGCAATAAGGAGCTAGGGAAAGCAAGGCCGTGGCAGATCTCCACTTCGCTCCCCCTCCATCCCCACCCCAGGTACTGGGCAGAGACCTGGGGGGCTTTTCCCCTCCCTCCGCACCCTGGGGCCGGGGTCACTCGCTGGTTTGAACAAGTGTCAGTGGCGGAGTCTTTCAGTCGAGGTTTGAGGACACCAGTGTCTCGGGCAGAGGTTCTGGGCCTGCTACAGAGCGGCTGGGGGGGTTCTGTGGCCTGTGATGGGCAGGAGGTCCAACTACATGGCTGTGATGGCCCCTTCTGACCACAGGAGAGTATCTGAAAGCCAAGGGCCCCCCCTCCCCGCCTGCTGCTGCGGGATGGGCCCAGCCAAGCGCCTCTCACCTTCCATTCGTGGTCGTCGGTGAAGATTTCGCTCCGGGCAATGTCCACTCTGTTCCAGGCCACTGCCAGCTTCAGCTGCTGGTCCCAGTTCTCGTGGCCAAAGTGGTCCCGGCTGCGGGAGGCTGCAGCCCAAGGCACAAATCAGCAAGGGAGTTCTCCACGCCACATGGCCCCCACCGCCTGCCGGAAAACGACATCCACAAGCGGCCTGCCCGTGGCACCCCCGTGAGCCCAGAGGACTGTGGGCCAAGGAGTCCAAAGAGCCCAGGGAGAAAGACACGGGAGAACACCCCGCACGGAACCTGTGTGAATGTATCGGCCCATCTCATGCGATAGCCCTCTGCGTGGCATTCCAACCCACGGCTGGAACCAGCACCATGGCTTTGCTGCGAGACACGGGACTGGCTCGGGCTATGGCCGGTGACTACGTGCCAGGAGCTGCTGGCCTAAGAAACGCAGAGACCAAGTGGAAGAGTAGGATGGGAACTGGCCTCTTGGATCCCCACAGACACTGGAGCAAGGCAGAAGTAACCACGGACCATGAGCCAAGAAAGGAAGGGCAGGCTGACTCTGCCCTCACGTGGGATACATGGCGAGAGGGGGCGGCTGATTCTTCTGCCCAGCAGAATAGCATGAACTAGAGTCAATTGTCTAATTAGGCAGGCGGGGTTATTCTAACAGCAATTCCCCTCACAAACAGGGCCACGTGCTCCTCTGGGCCTGAGTAAGGCAGGCAAATGGCTTCCACTCAGACAGTGCCAATGCAGCTCAAAGCACCCCCATTTTACCAGCGGACGGCTGTGGACTGGCTCTGGGGCGGATGCTCTTCGGTGACGCTCAGGGAAGTCGCTTGACAACCTGCCTGCTCCGTCCCGTTGTCCAGAGAAAGCCCGAGACAGGAGACCCTGTGTCAGAGGCCCGGAAGGAGGCCTGGGGGTTTGTCATAATCAGGTGTGCTGAGCAGCACCCGATGACTAAGGGGTTAACTCATGTACCTAGCCAAGGCGTCAGGCAGTCAGCCAATAACAATGCAGGTAGGAATTTCAAACTGGAAAAGAGGGGGGTTTCTCTCTCTCTTCTTTGTTTTAAGATCAGAGCAGTTTCTGCCAGGGATTGAGGGAGATGGGAGACGCTTCTCTCTCCAAGAATGGACTTCTTACAATGTGTAAGTAGGGAAAAGGTTAGATAGTCCGTCACGGTTTGTTGTTTTCCTTGTTTGGGGATTTGGAAATCATGGCTGAGCTGGCTAATTGTTTTTTGTTTCTCTTTGGTAACTAAGCATTATAGCCAGGGGTTTTCCCCGAGTATCTATATCAAATGGTGATTCTTTCCATCTGGCCAATTGACTATGCTTGCAACTATCGTTGGCTGTGTCTAGACTGGCAAGTTTTTCTGCAAAAGCAGCTGCTTTTGCGGAAAAACTTACCAGCTGTCTACACTGGCAGCTTGAATTTCCGCAAGAACACTGATTTCCTACTGTCTGAAATCAGTGCTTCTTGCGGAAATGCTTTGCTGCTCCCGTTCGGGCAAAAGCCCTCTTGTGCAAATACTTTTGCGCAAGAAGGCCAGTGTAGACAGCTCAGATTTGTTTTGCACAAAAAAGCCCCGATGGTGAAAATGGTGATTGGGGCTTTCTTGCGCAAAACCGCGTCTAGATTGGCACGGACACTTTTCCGTTAAAAGCATTTGCGGAAAATCATGCCAGTCTAGACGTAGCCGTTTTGTTTTGATAATAAAAGATTGTGTTTTTTTTCTAATTAACCGGTATTGGTTGATCGTTTTGTCCTTAGGACTCAGTGCCTAGTTCCAAGGGAAAAGTCCATTGTTGTCTGTGGGGTCCCTCTGGTTTTCCTCAACTCCAAGCAAAAGGGATGTTGATGCGGGTGTCACGTTACTGGAATTTGAGGGAAGCAGCCGGATCGTGGCTGCACCCATAGGTGGGGGTGCTGGCCCCAACAATGATATAGAAGGGGGCCATGTGGGGTATTGAATGGGAGCTTGTTGTTTGCTGATCCTGTGTACGCTATTTATGTGAATGTATAATGTTTGTGTGTGTAGATAGGAATCTGTAATCTGTGTGGAACTGAATATTTCTCCGAATGTGGTTAAGCATGGCTATGGACAGGCTGAGTAGCGAAGCCCTGTGGAACAATGGCACTTGATGGGCCAAGGACACACCTAAAGCATGAGGGCGGAGACCTAAGAGCTGCCAGCAGAGAGAGGCTGAGGACCAGGTGACCGGCTGAGACCAGAAGAGGCCAGGAAGGGGGTATAAAGAGGCCATGTGGTCGATGCCATTTTGTTCTCAGCTCAGCACTTCATCCCAGAGGCAGCATTGCAGGGATCGAAGAGCCCGGAAGACCTGTGAACCCATCCTGATCGTAGGATGTGCAATAAGAACTTTTAAACCAGCAGCTGCAACATCTCTGCTAGAGCCTGCATCGAG